GATTGAATATACATGTAGGCCTACATGGTGTACATTGTACATATTTTGCAACCCTCTACGAATAGCTGAAAGTGTTCAGATAAAACACAGCTGCTGCACATGTTCAGAACATGAACGTTGTAACATACTCATAAATGTACATGTATGTGTACGATGATAACAGCACTCTCAACATCTGTAAATCGACAAAACTCATCAGTAAAAATTATCATAAAGCCTCCAAAAAGCAGCAGGAGTGATGCAACGCAACCCAGAAGAAGAAAAAAATATGAGTAGAGAGGGAAGATCGAAGAGATGAAATTGTGGCACATGGCGTAGCGCTGACAGCCGAACGGAAAATTTGGAGCCAGCAAGTCAAGCCTGGTAATTCAGCATTACAGTAGGAAGTGCATTTTAAACTCTGAATCTCTAGTCCCCGGGTTCCAACGACAGACAGATACATGCATGGAGTATGTAGGTGTATTCCCACACGAGAATCTATATCAGTCCAGACCGCTTAATAGTTTAGGTTCACACGAGTGTTCGTTAACTTGAAGTTAAGTTCGTGGAATATAAAAGTTCAAAGTTGATTTGCAGTTTGGGACTGTGCAGAGATATACTCTCAGTTATAAACCATGAGGGATCTTGAGGTTAGCGAAGTAACTACAAGCAACAGGGAGGGGGTGTCAGTCCTCACTCAAAGTTATGTGCCGTGTGAACACAACTAACTTTGGGGTTAAGCCAGTGTATTGTCAACATGACTGCTTTCCCAGCGTGTACAACAAAACTTTGATACTCATTGTTTCAGTCCCGTGTGAACCTCTTCACTGTTAGTGGATCGTTATATTTCAAATTTTGTGTTTTTTCGCAAATTTATAGTTACGACGACCCCATGTGAACTTAGCAAACGTCTATCCTATATCCCTATCATCCTGCCAATACATGAGGCAATTTAGGTCTTCCTCAAATTCTCTTTTTAATTCCAAATGCAAAGCCATCGAGCACATCGTCAAACTTATACAGGCATGATATAAAAAGCGCAAGATTGTATTCAGGAAATGCCAACATTTACGTGTAAGCCCTTTTATAGCGTTGCTTTTGCAACTTTGTACTTTTTGTTGTTATAATGAATTCCTAATATAAACAGATACATTAAGCTGGATGAGATTATATTTGAAGGGGGAGAAACTTTGAATCTTGTGTATTCTATTTTTACAGAGTTCATCTTTATATTACTACTGCCATATCGTTGCATGACCATGTTTTAAAGGACTTTAAAAATGAATGATATACCATTTCTTGCACAAGGGTTCTCATACATGTTAGTATTTGTATGTTGAGAACGGGGTCAAGTTCACATTTTTTTCTCCAAATTCCAAGAAAAAGGGCAACAAAACCATCAAATTATTAAAACAATAACAAATACATACACAGGTATAACAGTGCACATAATAAAAATATTACAGTAGGTTCTAAAGAATTCAAAATGGGGAGGGGAACCAGACATCCAGAAGAAGAAAAAATCCTACTTTGAGAAACAAAGTGAGGGAAGGATTAAAAGATACTTTTATGATTGGACAGAGATTTGACATTTTCCCCGCACACTGATGAGGATGGACGATCCATTTCAAACAGCAGACAGGCCTTGGTCGGACGACGGTTATAGCTCCCTCGCTCAAAACAACATAGAGCGCAAAAAAGGGCTCGAGATTTCTCCATCTTCCTTACACTTGTGCCTTTTAGCCATTTCCTTCTTAGCCTAAAATGTATCATAGCATCAAACAATGTTGGCACATCAAAAAGCCTGTGCCTTTTTCACCTGCCAAGGGACCATAGTGTTCTTTGTAAAGAGCAGAGGAAATGGAGGAATTGTTTGCAACGGACAGTCATATCAAATCAACAACACCATACGATATCCAGCAACCTTTTTTGACTTTTTTCGCAACACTAACAAGGAGGAGGGGGGGGGGGGGGGAGACTTTGGCTGAACTTTAAGGGTTTTGAGTTGTAGATATGACTTGCTTTAATATTATAAAGTAGGTCCATGCTTATAATTTAAAGCAAGTTAAACAGAAATGATAGCTCAATTGTCCATGCATTTTAGACGCTGGTAAATGTCAGAGAAAATCCAGCACCCTTTCTGATTTTTGATTGATGGCGCGGCGTAATCGTACTGGACTACAAATATTTATCCCATCTCTTGAGAGAATCCTAGAAAACCTAATTCTTGCATATCCAACTCTCCTAGAATTTGTGCTTGATACCTTGGAAATGGACTGTTGAGAGCCAGAAGGGTGTTAACTCTGTTTCAAAGTATGTGAGTTAACGACCTTCTGGCTCTATGAAGACAATATACAGTATAAACTCCTTTGCTATTAACTAACAACAAGAGACAAATGCAAGAGAACAACAACTCATCTAAAATCATCATTACGACGAATGCAAGAGAGCGACATGTCATCTAAAATCATCATTAAGATGAATATATAAACTCCTATACTATTAACTAAAGAGAGACAAATACAAGAGATTGACAACTCATCTAAAATCATCATCAAGTTGAATATAAAAACTCCTATGTTATTGACTAAAGAGAGACAAATGCAAGAGATCAACAACTCATCTAAAATCATCATTAAAGATGAACTCCTATGCTATTAAAAAGAGAGTGACAACTCATCTGAAATCATCATTAAGATAAACCTACATGTACAAGTAGAACAGTCAGAGTAGTACAGTACACTGTACAGCATAAAAAAGACGACTCGTCTTCTCGAGCATTGCGGTGCCTGCTATTCACTGTACACCTGCGAGGCTACCGATTGATCTGGCTTAGAATTAGGCAATTTCACTAATTGATCATTTTGCAGGAAACAAAACGAACAGTCACTTAATTTGCATTGCAAAAAGAATGACTAATTGCAACTCTGATGTGTTCATAATAGTAGTGAACTCTCATTCCATACTTTGGTGTATGTTTTTTAAATGTATTTTCAAACACAAACAAGTACATATATATTGTTTTTTATTACTCTCATTTTGCTTTTATCTTTTTGTTGGAATATTTTGCTGTAAAAATGTGATCTTAATAAGAGGTACAAAATATGATATGTACATGAATGCTCTATTGATTCAATCTATGCTTATAATTCTGGATTATTGTTCTGACAAAATCCTGATATTTTTGTTTTTGAAAATTATGTAAAATTTAAAGTTTCTATAAACCATCCCGACTAGTGCCTATATTTTTTGTGATACACACCTACACTGTACATGTACAGTACAGAAACATATTTCAAGATGTTTCATGACTTATACTCCATCTCTTATTTTGCTAAAATACATTGTATGTGCGTTTCGCAAAAATATATTAATTTCAGAAAGGAACAAAAATGTACAAGTCTAATTCTTCTTCAGAGTGAAATCATTTATTTTCTCTTTTCTAAATGAACATGTAATATTTTAGTTCCTGCAATGCATCATTTTGGAAAAAGTCCTTTAAAAAAATTTCCCCCACAAGGCTGGATAATAACACTGACAAATATTTATGTTCTATGTTATTCAATTTCATTTTTTTAATGCTGCAATGCAATATTTCAAAACTAACATTATTTCCTCGGCATGCTCATCAAAGCAGCTGTCACCAAAACAAAACTGCAATCAAAATTGAAACAAGATTGAAACAAAAGGAAAGCGCAAAATGTTGCCATAGTCTTATTAAAAAGATTGTGGCCCGGATATTTTCAATGTTTATGTCTGAAACATGAAAAGAAATATCAAGAAATAATATAACAAGAAAGGCAAGTTTCAAGACAAGCACAAAAAAGAATAACATGACTTTTGCCTAATAGTCGAGGACTTCGGCTCAGGAAAAGAAGGGAGGCAGTTTTAATATAATAAAAATCCAGTCCACGGTGGGATTATGAACCCATATTGAAAAGAACAAAGACTGACATTTGAAGCGAACTTCCCTTAAATATTAAAAACAATCCTCTTGAACATTGTAGGAGCTGCTCTCGAAGGTCAGACAAATTTCAGCATCATGCACGAATGTAAACATGATTTTTAGGAGGTCAATCAAGTCTACGCTATGTTATCATAATATTTACTACAGTGTACAGGTAGATGGTCCGATTTGTATTTTTACAACAATACCAGGGCAATTAGTGTTTTGTTATCTTAACAATATCATGGTTTATATAAAATTGTAAACATTCAGATTACAAACCATAACAGATGGCAAGATGAATTTATAGATTTCACTCTCAAATATGACTACTAACTACTTGGCTTGAAATTTTATTTTGCCATTCATTACACACATGTATGTACAGCATAATGTTGAAAACAGTGTGAACATAAAAAATAGAAAATAGTTTTACTTTAATTTTTGTAATAGTTTCACCAATTCCAATCTAGGGAATAAATGTGATTATTATTAACAGCTTATCAATATAATTGTTACCTTAAAATATTAATTTTGTTTGTTTTCAAATGTTCTAAGACACAACATATTTTTCAAATTTTATATTATTATTGACTTTATGACATGAAAATGCAAAATTTTGTGTGTTCATTTTATATTGTAACTACTCTATACTGATTTTTCAATAATGTAGACATTTACACCTGTACATGTACCTGTACAGTGTACATGTATACAGTCATTTTTGAAAGAAAATCATTTAATTTGAAGGGCGGCAGGGCCTATTTTTGACAGAATCTTCCTGAAAACATCTATCGACTTAAAATTACATATAACTGATAAGATGAAAATATGCTCAGATATTTTTGGTAATAATACAAATTGTAATGCCCATTGTATTTGAAAATGGGATATTATTTAACCCGAGTATAAAATGTATCATGATAACATGAGCCTACTTTCCACATTTTAAATTGGAATTCTTTATTACGAAATTTATATATATTCTACATCAAATTTGGTCTTTCTATTTGCTCCCTAAAAAATTATGATTAATATGAAATATCTAAAGAAAACTATATGTTTCAATATTTTTACACACATATGAATTTATCAATGTTCGATCATCACCATCCATCGATGGGAAACTCAGTGTGGTTGAATATTGTTTTCAAAACTCACAGTAATATATATCTCAAATCATTCATAAGCTGCAATTCATCTCTTTGTTTTCAATAAAATTTTCAATACAGTTAATATGTAGATGATTAATAATATTATGACAATAACAATAACATATGATTGTGCAGAAAATGTGTGTGCACAAATCAATATTCAGATACCTAATATCGGTCTAAGCTGCAAGAAATTCATAATACTGGTCTACTACAAACATCAGCAGCAGTCGAAATGCATTTAACTGCCAACGGTGTGAAACCTACATTATGAATTTTTGACCGAAATCCAAAATGGCGGAAAGAATAATATACCGCCGAGCGGGGAGATTGAATGGGGGATAACCCTCGCCTCAAAGCTCCGTACGCCGTCTACTACCCGATCGTCCCGTGTGCGTGTGGCGATGGAGCACGGCTCGTAATCCACACACTGGATCAGTAATAATGGCATTGCTCACACGCACAGCTCGAATGTACGGGACATGGTTTCGGACAATATAATTATTATCAGGTCGGTTAGCTTACCTGTTTTCTCCTTTATTTCGCACAGAACGCTGAACAGCGCTGGCTTCATACGGTGGCAATTGAGGGCATGTTTTCTGGAAATTAAATTAAAACACAGAGAGAGGGGGATTATTAGGCAGATATTCGAGAAAATTTGGGGTTATTGAGAAGCGGATCGCATCTCGTAATATTTTCATCATCGCTGAGCATTTATCAATGACACGGCTGTCTGCTAGCCGTGTCGCCGAAAATGATTGACGCTTGTAAACAATAATTGGCAACACAATTCATAAATGTCAAAAATCCATTGCGACTCACCTGGCCTGTGCTTCGTCCAAACTCTGGTCTGTGATGGTCATTATCTGTTGCAAAATGTCTCCGATTTCTTGCTTTCTGGTCTCTTGAGAGTGCCTTTCAGTGGGTTGGGAGCTGGAGTCCGAGGACGGAGCCGAGAGGCTTACGGGGGGCTGCAAGCCCGGCTGGTGCAGCAGGGAGCCTTGGCTATGGGGCAGCACATGGGCCGAAGATATGGCATGCATTCCGTGCATAAGACCCGAATGTAGTCGCTGTTGATCATCCATTACATACGCTGACACAGTCGCGGCAACTCGGATAAAAAAAACCTGTCAGGATGATTTCAAAACGCTTCCTTTCCTTCAAGTCGATGGCTGCTATCCGTACAGACGAGGTGTTGCACGTGTATGCGAACTGTCAAGTTTCGGGCCAATCCACCACAATGATGGCTGTAGTAAAATAGAGAAAAAGCGGCGATGAAATGTTTTTATTCTGCTGCCGTGTCGCATTGGAGGTGGGGAAGAAACGCGTATTGACGGCTAGGCAAATGCCACTCAAACCCTACGACGTGTCAAACCCAAGCCGACAGGCCCCGCCCTAATCGATGATTGACGGTTGTCCGGGAAACGGACTATTACATTCTAAATGAAGGGACATGTTGCATTGATCGTCTGTATAACACTGTCATAAAGTCAGTCTCTCTGAACTTCCTCTCTTAAATTTCTTTTGATGATTCACATTTAGTTGTTTTGAATACCAATTATATCTTATATATCATATCACATCCTGCATCTAGGGAAAGACAGAGAATCATCGGCTATCTCATAACTCGCGCATCCCTGCTATAAAAATGTCTTCGTCCACCCAAACCCATTTTCTTTGTGTGACAGATTCATTGTTCGGACATGAAAAGATCTCTTTGGTGGTGATAATTAATAGTCTTTGCTTCATTAGTGCTTAGATAATGTCTGGTTTCTCTCTTTCACCCCACTTAAGGACACATGCCCATGACCCTCACCGTGCGTAAGTGGTAAGCCAATTTGTGAAGACCCGTTATAATTATTAATTTATTATATGTTAGCTCTTATTCCCCCCCCCCCCTTTACAATATGACGACATCTAAACCCGTAACATACGACCTCAATAGTAATATATAGTGCTCCCGAAGAGTATAATACTTCAACCGAACAGATATATTGTCTCTATTGTCTTCATATTCGATAAACAGTATTGTTAGTTGCGAAGTTTAAAAAAACATGAATAATAAGGATAGTATATACTGATAATAATAATAACAATAATAATCATTATAATATTAATGATAATGATAATAATAATAGTAATAATAATAACAATCATTATCTTAAAAATATTAATAATGATAATGATAATAACAATAATAATAATAATAACAATCATACTCATAAACATAATAATAATAATGACGATAATAATAATTATCAACTTTGCATTACAAGATAATGAAATAACAAGAACAAAACAGGGAAAATGGCAATCAAAATAGACATTATTTTTATTCAATAATATATATTATAAATGAATATTCAAAGGACCTTAAAATATGATGCGTTTATTAAAGTATTCAAACAGAATGGGGGGATGTCATTGCGAACTGACTACGAATAAATTCCTGGAACAGAATTTGTTTATGTATTTTTTTCTCGCTAAAAATAATTACAGAATATAGCATATTTGAAACAGAACATACTAAATGTAATCCTATTTCAAACGGTGAAACTGAATATACTAATTTAATCCTATTTCAAACGGTGAAACTGAATATATTAATTTAATCCTATTTCAAACGGTGTTTTTTGGTAACTCAAATCCTAAGTTTCTGTAATTTTCCTATACTGTTTTATGATTGTATAGGACGTGTATTCGTACAAATTACAGTGTTCCGTTTTCTTTCAGTAAATTTCTCACAATTTTTCTCTTTCTTCATACTTTTTTTATTCTTTCTTTCTCAATACTTTTTTGGCTAATTCAGTTATTTATTTATTTATTTGCATAACATATCACCAGAACTAGTTAGATATATAATAAATGCAAGCAATAACCCCCTCCCCCTATACCTTCTATCCCAGCCAAGGCAGGGATCATGTAGAGATGTTGTGGTCTAGTGGATAAGTCTCCTGATTGAAAACCATAAGGTACGGGTTTCGAATCCCTGCCGCAGCATTGTCCTTCGGTGACGTCCTTTGGCAAGCCCAGTGAAATAAATTCCTCAAAATGCTAGAGCGCCATAATTATTAGCAGTCATGCTACAGCCGGGGTAATAATTTTGGAGTGCTAAATCTGACAGACATGAGCGCTATAAGAACCCACTTTTATTATTATTCCTATTATCTTATAATTTAGATATTCCAGCCAGACGATCATTATTTACAGCACTATACGGAGCGTGCAACATTTGGCAATTGATTTGAGTATTTGCTTCTTGCCTTATTGTTAGAGGAACTTGATATTCTGTTATATCAAATAACTTAATGCTTTCTTCAATTTTTTTAATCAAACTGCTGACAAAATCACCTGAAAATTTGGATGGAAGGCATAGTTACACATAATGTTGCTGGCACAGGTGGTATATTATGGATTCCTATTTTTTTTTTAAGTCCCTCAATATAGCTTTGATGATATATTTCTTGGTAAAGTAATGACAAATGCTACTATATTGTTATTAAAAATGGACATCAATATTTCCCAAATATTTAACACATTTTTTTTTAAATTAGGGATGATTTTATTACATGAATGAATTAATTAATGATTTAATTTCAATTAACTAATAATCATCGTATCGTCCACTGTTAAGCTGATAATGAGCATGGTGCTGATTTTAAAGATGTCCACAAAAGAGCGATGGTCATATCGGAAAACCCTAGAAGTAAACTTGTATATTATAGGCGCTGGATTAAAATTAACATTACTTTAGTTCGATGACGATGATGGTGATGATGATTGTGATAATGATGATGATGATTGACTTGTTTTTTCTAGGGAGGTATAAAAACATCTACGATTTCACAAACCGTTTATTCGTGTATAATCATATCACAATTTGATCATTTCGGGAGGCGCGGTTTAATACATAATTTAGATTGAAAAGAAATAAGCTAAAGTTGAAAGAAAATGAAGGAACGAAATAAACATTATTCTGTATGGTAAGAAGAGGATAGAAATCGTAGACAAGGTTTCACGAACCTAACGTACAACATTTGAAATTTAGCAACAGCGGTTACAGATATTGTTTGGAAAAGAAACTGACCTTATAGATGAATACCTGCTCTAAAATAGAATAAAGTATAGTTAAATGGAATTGAAGAAAAGAAAAGAAAAGAGCACTAGGCAAATTTAAATGGTTTATAGAGGCTTCTTGCAGCGGAGATTGAGAGCGTGTCGGGTGTACAATGATATTTGCCTGATACTGTTGCACGCGCCAAAAAAAAATTCTCTATAAAATGCTCGGGGCGTGGGGCGCTTTTCTATACTCCTATTCGCCAAATAAAAGATATTCTGAATACAATGTATTCTGCGTCTCATATTGAGAAAACAGCATAAAGCGGTTCAGGCAGAGTGTGTGAAATATCATGAGAAAGTTTTAATATCCGGCATAAAATGCCTTTTGTCAACATCCTGATTCGTGTGAGGCAATATAAAGCAAAAGTATCTTTTTTTTTTAAATGTTTGATAATATTAAATAAATAAATGAATAAATGCAGGGTGACACTTTGAATATAAACATTCATTGAGATATCCTCAGAAGGATATTAGTTTATTTAGAAAATATGAATACTATATTTTTATCATGTGTATTAGCCAGTTCAAATATTCTAAACACATCTAACAGAGTGCATGCTGCGAGAGGGAATATTATTATCTTGATATCACTCATGCGTGGTTGCAAAATGATGCAAGTAGATCTTGATTTGGGGGCAGAATGGATAACGAACTTATCGCTAGATGGCGCTATAAAAGAGTATCGCATCATCGCATATAACTAATTGAGATACGGTGTATTTAAATTGGTGGGTGCTTTGGAGACATTGTGACATTTCCCTGCTGGAACAGTCAGGACGGAGAGAGGGAGGATAAGAGAGAGGGAAGAGAGAGAGAGAGAGAGAGAGAGAGAGAGAGAGAGAGAGAGAGAGGGGGGCAGACAGACAGAGAGGGAGACACAAACAGACATTGTGCAAATTATTACTGCGTTTACTTTTCTTATAATGGGAGCTAAGTGACAAGAGAGGTATTTAATATGATAATCATGGACTTACAAATATAAGACTGCATTATAAATTTAGGATGTAAATAAAAACATATATTTTGCGGAGGAAAAAATGTATACAATCACAATTGTTACACTATCACGACTGTATTTAGCAACAGTCAAATGGGAACACGAAATGAACTTGTAGTTGTTAACTTTTAACCAAAAAAAATCGTAGAAATGCTGTATCCAGTCTGGATGTAAGGAGACTTGTAGAGATTACAGAACATTACAAAAAAGATCTTGAAGTAATGTTGTTTTGATTAATATATTTAAAAAATAATGACAGATAGACTTATAAAGAAATATTTTGAAATTATGTTAAATTTTCTTCTCAGTTTATGGTATTTCTCTCCCCTTTTTAGTATTATATTTCTAAATGTGTACGTTTATTTAAGTCTGAAAGTCTGTTCGCTGTTTCGTGTGAAGCTTTGGGGTGCATTGTTAGTCGTTTTTGCTAGAAAGTTGATTATCGGTATGTAACAATAATAATTTTTGATTAATTTTAAAAAGCATTTCATTGTTTAAGAAAGGATAACATTTTGATTTAACGATGGCGGTCTCCTGCGTTCTGAAATTTATCTCTTTATAGTTCAATGAAAAATATTTACAAATATCCGTTATAATAATTTGTATGCTTTGTATTATGGTTATTGTATAATGTTATTAGACATGAGTTGCTGTGTATGTAATACTTATGTAAAAATGTATAGCCGTGTCGTTTGAACGCAGAAATAAAATCAATCAAACAAACAAACAAGCAATGTCGGCATCTGCATTTAAAACATATTTTTCTTGTCCTGTTTTTTTCATGTGTTTGGTAACTAAAATAAAAATCGAATAATGCAATTTCTCGTGCATTATAGAACATTTACGTAATAGTTAGTTCTTCATAATCCAAGTCATGTTGTACATTTCTTTATTGTAAGTTTGTTAAAACTGATTAGGAACCTTTACACGTCAACATGTCATATTGTTTTATTCTCAGTGTTTGGAAATGAAAATAAATAAAGTAAAATAAAATGAAAGCAAATGCATAATATCTTTGCTCGATGAATGGATTGCATTTATATTTTCAATTTCATCACATAATGATTTGCTTGATGAGTATATGTCATTATGTAGGCCTACTTAAGAAAGCATTTTCAATGGCAATTAAGTGCGTTATAAAACCAAATCTTATAACAGATTACGCAATATTTCCTTTAACTGCACTTGTTTCCTGACCCAATTTCATTAAGTGTACACATAAATAATGTAAACATAAAA